TATATATATATATATATATATATATATATATATATATATATATATATATACTATCATACATTGGTGCATGGGCGTGACGCTAATATACCTTTTTTGTGGTTAATATAATGTGCGCTGTTGTTAAAACAGAAGAAAACGCGACTTTTTAAAGACTGTCTAATTTGATTCATTTTCACCTGAGACCTAAAACAATGACTTCATGAGTCAACAGAAGGATTTTAGCCCCACCTCCTGGTCAATATAGGTAATTACAAATACATTGCCCCTGCTCTCCTGAAGATTACATTTAAATTTTTCCTGGTTTAAATATTAGAACATACATACTGTATATATTATACAAATAGATTAGATATTGATGTACAGTGACTAAAAAGATTGTCATTAAACTAGTCTAAACTAACTAGTTAAACTAGTCTTACAGGGAGTGGTAGCCTAGTGAGTTGGAGCAATGTGCTTGTGCTGTCAAAAGGTTGCAAGTACCTGGTATGATCTCCACTGTCTGCACTCTGGGTTCCTGAGCAAAACCTTTAACCCCAGACTCCTCCCCGGGCATCACACATTGGCAGGCCACTGCTCCTCAAGGGGATGGGTTAAATGCAGAGAGTGAATTTCCCTATTGTGGGACAATAAAGGGAGTTACATAAACCTGGGTTATGAGTTCTACAGAAGGCAAATTCATAAAGGATATCTGTCTTGTGAAGTGTATCTGCTGCAGTTATATATTAATAAACAGAAGTAAAATGACCTGAGGTTGGTCAAACATCATGGGTATTCTGTTTCATTTTAGTTTGTTGGTATTTTGTCCCATTGCTCTGAACAAAACTGATGTTACTGAGTCAGGTTTAGAGGCTATCTTCTTAATACATCAACATCTTCAGCTATGCCCAAAGTTTTTCTATGAGACTGGGGTTGGGACTTTGTACTTTAATTTTAGCTTGTTTGAAGCTAATTTGGTATTTAAAACCACCTATCTTTAAGTTGCCAAATTGAGATGCTGCTTTAGTATTTCTATGTGTTATTTCTTTCAATGTTTGCTGCACTTTAAACATTAATGATATCTGAACTGCATCTGCTCCTCTCGCAACTAAACATCCTGTAACATTACTGTCATACTTCACAGCTATATAGGTGCTCTGTGGCTTTCCTCTGTTTCCTCCAACTATAATGATGACCTTTATGGGAAAAAAAAGTCAAGATATTGAGTTTTTGAACCATATAGTAGCCTATCTCTAAAATAAACCCTCATGTCCCCTGGTGCATTTACAAACTGTAATCAGGATTTTTATGTTTTTTTTTTGTTGTTTTTTTTTTTGTAAAGTCTTCTCTTTTTTTTACCGATTAAACTTTTAGTCAGTTTATTATATTCTGTTAATTAAGCTAAAATTTATCTCAGGGTACTTTACAGAAAAAAAAATAATAATTCAAATTGACTTCAATCATGCAGACAGATACACAGCCAAATTAATTCCAGTTATCAAAGAATGCAGTCAGGCTCAGTTTGTTATTCAAATCAGCTGAAAAGTTTTAAATCTAAGGAAAGCAGCAGATTTTACTAAGCCACTAAGTTGCACTATCTGCTTCTCTGTCAAAAAGGAGTAAATGCTGCATGTAGCAGCGGAGGACAGACACTTGCATTGACTTTACAGCAATCCCTAATGGGGAGCATGTAAATAGTGACAGTAGAAATAAAAACTCCCATTGAACAAATAGAAGCCTCCAGCCGAACCAAGCTCAGCGTGAACAGCCTTCTGCTGCTGGGGGGTTTAAGAAGACAACTCCATACAAACAAAAATAACACAGAGGCACTGATGCAGGTATACTTTCTATGTTAACAGAAGGTAAACAGTAAATATGAGCTGATTGTGCCCCCAACTACACAAACACAGGGTGGTGTTACTACATGAACAGAACCCCTGGTCAGGTGTAGTTACTATGATGAGAGATAGAAGGAAAGGGAACATTTAGTTAAAAGTTTAAACAATTGGAAATAATACATAAAAAGAAGATAGAATGTAGTACAAGAATGAGGAAAAGTGGTCTTTGGGTCCTTCAGCACCCAACTCCTATAGCAGCAGATATGAGTTGGTTCCACAGTAGAGGAAGCAAATAACTAAGATATCTGCCACCCATTCTACTTTTTAGAAAGGGAATAATTTACTTAACTTTAAATTGAAATTTAAAAGGATAGTGCTCTGTTCAGAACAATCTCTAATGTATTACAGAGCTTGTTTATTTATCCTTTGTATGAGAAAAGGAGACTCAATTATTTTCTGGATGTAACAAGAAGCTTCTGTGACAAGAATAATATGATTTTAATGATTTCCAACAGCCTATATCGGTACCAAACTTTGTTTTTATTTTTGTATTACAGTGGATAATGAAACTCAATGTAACCAGCAACTTATCCCTGTCGTTTGCTTTTGTTCTGGGGTATATATATATATATATATATATATATATATATAAAAACCATGCAGGGCAAATGATAATCTTACGCTTGCATGTTATTGCTTGAAACATAGAAGCCTAACAGTCAGACCTCTGGAAGTTATACCCCGACTTGTGAGAGTCAACAACCCTCTCCCTGGTATCTGAAATTTTGCAAAGATTGCATACTGAAAAGCTGTCTTTCTTTAAGTCTTTCTATAGGTTTTTGCGAGTAAACCTATTAAAACCTCAAATAGCTATGAAATCACCAGGTTTTCAAAATTGATTTAGTGCAGTAATTCTAGTGTGTTAAGATCTACATTTAACAAAAAATAGCAAAATTAGCATCCTAATCAATTAGATAATATTGGTAATTATTGATATATAAATTAAAAAGGTTTTTTTTTTTTTATGTCAAACAGGAAATAAACCAGTTCTGGTTATTCTATATAAGGTATCTAAATATCAGAGTTCAACAATACATTTAATAGAGTGAAAAATAATTCAAAGATTCTTTATTGGTAGAAACATTTTGAATGTGACCCAGACTTTAGCTACAAACTAGAAATATGAATAAACAAAACTTTGTAGTTGTAAAGAGATTTTTATTGGCTTTTGTGCTTAAAAAACAGAAATAAAAACATACAGACACAAAAACGACAGAGCTGGAAAAAAAAAAAAAGCTATAGCATAGTTCAATCCGTTTTTAGGCTGCATCCTATGCAAGGGAACCTTTCAAAGACAGCGACTTGCTCACAGAGATTAATGAGACGTTGAGTGAAATGTTCACATGGTTTGTCCAGTTGTTTTCTTTTGTCACATTTAGGTAATGTGAACTCAAGCACCAAAGTGGCATAGATCAAAGCTTTTAGTGTTTGACTGCATTATATGGACAGTAAAGACAAAAAAAAAAAAAAACAACCAAAACAATCTACAAACATTGAGTGGTTTGCAGCCTTAACAGAAAATAAACAGCTAGTACAGGTTTCACCAAATCAGTTTTCCTCTGAAACAATATTGTAACACAGGGAGTTTAAGGGACGTTCAAGAACATTAAGCATTAAAGCTCCCCTTTTTCCTCTTAGTGGAGAAACTGATTTTAAACTCCTATTTCTTCTGGGGAAAAATAACGATAAAAAAAGAAAAAAAGGGCTCTCTGAGGGGATCTGTTTCAACTTTTACAGCTAACCAATGTTATTGTTTAAAAACCATTTGAGGCAGATATTGAAGCCAATAGTGTCTGAGATCATTCCGGTTTCTGAACATCCTGAAGCAGACAAAACGTAATCTTCAAAACAAACCACAATGAAACAGACTCTGGTACAGCATAAAAAGCACATATAACATTCTCACTGAAAGAGCTACCAAACCTTTGAAACCTGGAGCAGTTTTAAAATAAACCTGCCAAAGCTAACCAATGCTCGGTCTCTGACTCTTGAAATTTATTTGATCTGCAGCGTTTGTTAGCTCTGTGACATACAAACACAGGAAAAAGTAGCCAAGCGATTATTTATATGCAAGTCCACAGTCAATGTCAAAACAGGTTCAATTGCACAAAAATGAATTCATCTTTTGCAAACTACAGCAGAAGAGGGGCTCAAGGAGAAACACAAACTGATTTTCATACACACTATATTATATTTACAAACATCCTTCACAACAAATGGAAAGTCTAAATTGTACAAACATCTGCTATGATAACGGTTGCGCAAAATACGATTTTGAAATACAGTAATACTTTTGTTTTTCGTTTCACAATGTACAAGTTTAGTCCGTCCACACAATAGAAAGCAAAGCACGAGCCCTGAAAGGCCACAAAAGTGCACGTTATCAGATCAGTTGGAAGCCACTGGGAAGGAAGGACCGGTGTGAGTTGGAACCCAAGTTCCCACTCTCCACACTCCAAACTGCACTGTATTGCAAGATCAACAGTTAGTGGATGGAAATTTAGGAGTATATATTTGCTCGACATGCAGGCACACATGAACAAAAATGCACCAGATGCTCTTGAACACAAACACATCGTCTGCATACTCACACGCAAACAGGGTTCTAGATAAGGAACCTTTGAGAATCCTTCCACTCCAACATTTTCCTCATACCGTCACATTATGTTCAAGTATTAACTCTCCAGTAGAAGATACTTTTAGGACTCAACAACAACCAGATGCAGGCTTCACATCTTATAAAGGACTCAACGTCCCGTTTCAAGGCCATTTAGTTCTGGGTAGTGACTTCAAGTTGAGCTAATGTGGGTATTTAAACGTTACGTTTTGAATTATGAGACATGCTTTCCAACAGGAGGCAGAATTCCAGTTAACCATGTCATCCTCAGAGGGAGGAAAACACACACAGGAAGTCAGCTTTTAAACCTAGTGTTTGGGTGGATACTACTCAATTCCTGCCATGTAGAGCAGTGTTGCTCAATTAATTAGAATATTAGGAAAAGTTGATCTATTACAGCCATTATAGCACAAAGCAAAAAAAAAAAAAAAAAATTTTCAGTTCACATTTTGTCAATCTGCGAAACTTTTGCATAACGGTAACTTTGCATTCTTCTGCTCTTATCTTTTCTGTGTACCCTTTTCCACCACATGTCTTCTTTCCACTTAACTTTGAATTAAAATGCTAGGATACAGCAGTGTGAAGAGCTAGCCTCTTTAGCCAATGTGTCTTTTCTTGTGTAAAAGCAACTGTTTGCTTCACCCGACTGAAGTCCGATGACTTCTTAGTAACAGAAAGGTCATGACATTGTGCTGATTGCACAGCGTGGCACAAGTATTTCTGGGAAAATTAAGTGGAAGTAAAATTTTGAGGTAAAAAAAAAAGAACACAATAATAAACGCATTGAAAAAAACAGTAAATAAGATGTAATTTTGCGCTTTCCATAGGCCTCATTAAAACTAAGGGAGAGCTTATGAAAATGTCACTGTAATATATCAGTATAATATAAAGTGTCACCTTTAGTTGAACTACTGCACCTGTTGATATTCCTATTGGGAAGCATTGGTAGACTGTGTTTAGAGGAGAATGTTTGGAGTCCTACCGTCTTTAGTGCAAGGAAAGTGGTTGAGGACACCTCTGTCTCAAATTTAACATAAGCTTTGATATTTTTTTAAAGTATGTGGAAAAGTGCAGGTTACTAGAGACAAAGGGTGCAAAACAGATTTGTCATCAATTGAAAAGGACTCAAAATAAGCCCTGATGCATTCTGACAGGGGTCTCCAAACATCCACCAAGGTGAAACTGCAGTTTTTATTTGTTTTAATTTAAAACTTTTTCTTCCAAACGGATAAATCCAAACAATGTTTTCCTGTTACACCACTGAATACAACTTGAAGTCAAATCCAACAGATGTCTAACTACTGCAGCTCTCCTTTGAGCTGTGTACCCTCCATCTAATGATGCCATGCTCTCCCCATAAGCTTCATCTCACTCCTTCATCTTTCTCTGGTCCATTAGAGTATCTTCAGGTTTCCTTTGGTCTTCTCTTCCACGGTTCATACCTACCATTCAAAGCCAAAAAGGCCTCCTTCTGGGTTCTTTACCATCGTCCATTATTTTAACAGGAAGGAGAGGTTCGCGGTTTGCTAGCGGCCCAGCAGGTAGACCACCACCTCATAGGTGCACATCATGATAGCAGTGTTAGGAATCTGTCTAACGAGGTGGGTGGTGAGGCCACGGTACAGCGCTCTGTACCCCTCCTCTTTGGGGACTGTCACAAGAGTTTGGAAGAAGGAACGATACTTGCTGCCTTCTTCTCGTAGCCGTGTGCGGATCACTTCTGCAGAAATTAAATAAAGAAATAATTCAGTAAGATAAAAACTGGCCTTTAGATTCTCAAGATTTATTAGAGCAACTTGTGGATCTGCACATATTTAAAGAGATGCTTACCGTGAGGATAGGCGATGGAGGTGGCACAGGTCTTAGATGTGGCTGCTGCGAGCATCATGCCAACAAAGTCTGAGGCATCCTTGGAGGACTCATCCTCTTCGTCCACGCTGGTAGGGACTTTGGACTCGAGCAGTTTTCGTTTGATACTTTCATAGATCACAAAGTGGATCACAGTCTCAGAGATGCCAGCGTACGACGCCGACATTCCCCTGTAGAAACCTCGGAGGCCATCCACCTGGTACACCCGCCGCACACACTCAAACGCATTCATACGCCGTTCACCTAGGCTCCTGGGGTCAAAAATACACCAAGTTTAGAGGGCTTTATAAGTACTTTCACAAAGAGCAGAAATTCTACAGACATGTTTGCTGAAACTCTGAAGCACAGAGTTTGTTTTTGACCGAGAAACATTTGGCGCCTCACCTTGAGTCGAGCTGCAGACGGGTCTTGATCAGCCAGATAGGGTTGGTGGCTGTGATGGCGGTGAACCCTGGGGAATTCAGAAGAGGTCAAAGGTTCAGACGGATTCCTCGACACGTGACAAAACACAAACAAATAAGCTGCACTGAAATTCTACACTGTGCAAGGACAGAGAGAAAGCAGTTCACAAAACATGAAAACTGGCTTTATCTTTTTTTACTCAAGCTCTCACTAATTTGATAAATGCAGATAAAAGCTGCATCAATTACATAGAATTAGTGAATTAAAAAATGAATAAATAAAATTTCTCCTTCACGGTAGAAATCAATGGGGTAAAATCTATTTTAGGTTGAATGAAAGCAACAAGCTTTATTCTGAGTGATTTGTTGATATTTTGTAATAGTAAATAGTTAATAGTTAATCTTCGAAAAACAGCAAAATGAAGTCAAGCAGACTTCTTTTTTAGGCCTAATTTTGCTACTATTCACTTAGGATTAAATATTTTATAGGATTAAATATTTTAAATATAACAATAATGAGCGATACTGTGGGTCATCAGAACATAATCTGCAGCTGTGATAATCTGAAAGTTTTCATTCAGAATCTGGGTTTCAAACACGGGGGAATTTTCCCCTTAGTTTCACTAAAAGTAGAATTTTAGAGATGCACAGATAAACTCGATTGTGTTCTGAATGATTACAAAGATTACAAAGAAGTCTCAAAAATCCAATAGTTTTTCACTATCAGTGAATGCACCATATCTAAGCACAAAAACAGCTCACCTGCCAACAACACTTTTCATTGCTGAAGTTGTTACTGAGGAAAAAAGGCTCAAACTGCAGCTGTTTTTGGTATAAGGTAACTAAAAATAATCAGATAAAGTACACAAACAGATCAGCTGTACTATAGTATCTTCTACAGAGGAAGGTCAGTTGTTCATTCAGTCTGTTACCTATAAACAGTGGACAGAGGTCAATACTGGAATTAGAGCCAAGTAGCAGTTTTATCAAATTGTCCATGAAACATGCTTGATTTAAAGTGGTTGGGGTTCTCTAGATGTAATATCCACAGACAGTTTATATTACTACAGCTAAATATGCTAATTGCAGATAGTCAAAAGGTAAGTTCTCTTAATTCTACACTTATTGTTTCCTTGTACAAACATGGAGTGAAATCCACCCGAAGAATTTCAAGATTATTTCTAATCTAAAAAAGTCTAGATATATTATCAAATATGACATTTTCATATGTGCAAAGTAAGTTAGAGAAATAATCTATTTAAAAAAGAATTGCACAAGACATGCTCCTGCTCTTTTGGTTGTCTTGTTTGAGTAAAAAAAAAAACTGTATAAAAAGATCAAGAATTTTACTAGATTAGAACATTTCCTATGACGCAGACAGAGCTAGATTTATAACCTCCTCTTGTTTTGGGAGAAAAGTCTTTGTTTTATTTACAAAAATCAAGTGCTAAGGTTATAAATTTCAATAACTTTAGCAAACATTTTGAAAGTTGTTATTTAGAGTCTTTAAAAACAGAAACAGCATAAAACCAGTATTGGCAAAGGAAAGCTTTATAAAATTGGAGTTAGCTCTGAAAACTCCAATCTGTCGTCTAAAGTTTATTCAAAAACACAAACCTAGTCCTGCTCACTTCTCTTCATGATCATGTGCTGAAACAGTGGCCACTGCCTGATTACTGTGTGCAAACTAAACGCTGGCAGACCCGAGTACAACTGGTGAAGGTCAGCAGCAAAATAATACATTTGCTGGGGATTGTTTTTAATTGAGCTCTTTACTGAAATAGTGGCCAGAAATGTTTTACTGCTATCTTGATAAGCAAAAATTACGGTCAGTCAGTTAAAGGAAAGTGTAGGCCTAAACACTGTAAAATGATTTTATGCATTTTTGTTACAGTTTCAAATGTTGTACATGATTAATTGCATTTTATTTAATGGCTATACAATTGCATTGTTTATTAATGTGCCTTTTGCCTCATTTACAAAAAATAAAATGAGCCAAAATCAGCAATAAATTGAAGAGAAAATCCTTAGTAGTTGCCCTGTGCAGGAAACTTCTAGTTCCAGAGATGGTCTAATAGACAGATCTAGAGTAGCATTGCAACAGAGACCTATGTGGAGAGAGCTGCATCAGAACGGATTACATAGGTCTGTTGGAGAGAAGAAGAGAAGAACAAAACAAAAAAAAGAAGAAGAAGAAAAGAGAGGGAAGTAAAATGAAGTAGCGTCTAATGGCGTGTACTCACGAGGGAGGGGCAAAGCTCCTCCAGCTCCTCCCCGCTGCAGCTAGAAGCCTGCAGATATAGGGGGGTTCAGATGGCGGGGGTCTCCCACCCAATCACGCAGGCGTGAAAGCTTTACAGTAAAGCCCTAAAATAGACACAGGCTTTTCTGTACCAGTCACACACAAGCAGCAGTCATATCTACCCCAAAGCCCACCAACCCCATACCCACGTTTGGAGCAAGAAGATGGAGAAAAGATGGGAGGTGGGGGGGTGCACCCCCTCCTCACATCTTTCTTTAAACTGTAGACCCAACTTTATGCACCATCTACTTACTCCACTTTTAATTCAAGTCTTCAACTTCAGTTACAATGTCTTGTTTTCATTGTATGCCTTTTAAGAAGGAAAACAAAGGTAAACCAAACGTCAGGTCTATCTGAAGCGCAGAGTAAATACAATAACCTGTAAGAATATTCCTCACAATCACTGAGCCATTGCCAGTCATGTTCTAGACTAACAGAAAAAGATAAGATGCTAACTGAAACAGGCAGGTGGAAATGCTAACCTTGCCGTGGCGACAAACTCAGAACAGAAATCAGTGATGGTGGTAAATGATGTGATGGAGATGGATCCTCATCAAAGCTCAGCCTGCAGCTAATTCAGAGCCTTGCAAAACTATTCATGCTCCTTGAGCATTGCGGCTTGAACCATCTAGATACTTTGGTATTATTTTGGTATGGTTTTATTCCATTTTGTTTTGAGGAGAAAAAAAAAAAAAGAAGAATCATCCTGATGTGCATTTTTAAACCACCATTAGCTGCAGTTACACCTTCAAGCCTTCTGGAGAATGTCTATAAAATATATAGACATATAAACAGTCTCAATTATAAAATGTCTGAAGGTTAAATTAGACATTTTAAAGATTGTGTAAGGTATGAATTAATTTGTGTTCTCAGTTTGTCACACCACAAAAATATGTTGTATTAATCACCCATCTGAATCGAAATGATTAAAAACAAAACTAAGAATTCCAGGGGTCTTAAAAGACTTTAAATACAGGCACTAAGTTGGCAACAATTCAGAAGCAGCATGGTTCGTTTTTATAATGCTGGGACGGCAGGGGGCGTGGCCAGTGTTGAAAGCAGCAGTATGACTACAGTACATAGACATACTGAAACCCAAGTTTAATTCCAGTGCAATTATATAAGGTTGGGGGACTTTTTACAGGCATAGGACAACATGTTTAACATTTATAATGTGTTAGGCAGAAAATTTGGGAATTCTCTTTACATGGTCACTAACAGAGAATATTTGATGGATTAGAACAACTGCATGGTTTTGGCTGTTGTGAAGCTTGAAGCTAAATGTCACCGGGTCTTAAGAGTTTTACCACAGCATCCTTAACATCATAACAGTGCCAATATCAGTGATGTGTTCAGGGGGATAAGCATAGTTACATTCCTCCTCAACAATATTGCACATACTAGCAATTAAGTTTTGCTTTGATTTACTTGATTAAAGCTCCTTAATCAGTTGCAATCAGTAGCAAATGATAAGGCTATTCGTTTCCCTATTTTATCCAAAAAGGGGTTTTCTTTAAGACACCCTTAGACCTACAAACAGAGAAGCTGTGGGTTTCTAAAGCGTTTCCAGGGTAACCAGGACAGAATTACCTGATTGACACAGAGATTAAACTCCACATAGGTGTAGGTCTGCACGCTGTACCTGACCGAATTTTTTTTTTTTTTTACTCGTAATCTGTTGAAAACCATTTATGTTTGCAATCTATTTGACAATTATTGCCTACTTTGCATTAGTCTCTCTCATTAAATGCATTGAAGTTTGTATTTTTTTTTTTATCTGACAAAATGCAAAGAGGTTCAAAAAGCATGAATCATTTCTGCAGGACACATTAGCTGCAATAACTTGTCATGATGGAGGAATGAGTTTATCAATGATTAAATTATATAATGTAAAAATAAACTAGTTTGATTTTAGAATAAATCATAGAAATGATATAAACCTGACAGAAAGTAAACAAAAAAAGTTCTGAATAGATATTTATGTGGCAATTGTTTAAGGTGCATTTCCTTGATTTTACTTATTCTACTTTTCATGCCTTTACAATACATAAAAGAAAAAAACTGAGTGGGGAGAACAAAATTCTGTCACCTTGCAATAATTCATGACTATATCTGGCAGTGAAAGTGAGCTTTTCAAGTTGCACCAAGTTGCTAATCTCTGCACAGTTCATCCATATATTGTGCAACTCCACCTCCTTTGTTCAGCTTCTACAGAAAGCTGCACGTGTTTACGAACATGCTGCTGCAAGTTCTGCATTTAGGTCCTTCTATAAGCCTTTAATGCACATGCAATATTTCCAGAGGGGTTTGACCTACATTCAGACACAAGAGTCAGATTCAGAAAATAAGTCTGAGTGGGGCAGGAGAGAGGGAGCAGCTTCTCTCCTCCAATTGCAAAGCAGCCCAGAGTTCCAGGCCGGGAGGCCATAAGGGGAACTCCTCGATACAGTTGACTTATGAAACTGGAAGCAATTATACTGAATCAGGGTAAAATTCAGCCTGCAAGCTCAGTTTCATAATTCTCAGTTAGTTGCGAGGAGAGGTTAAAAACAGATGAGTTTCAAGACAGATAGATGAAATTAGTACTAAGTTCCTCAGCTATGAGTGTCTTTTATGAGCTGTGTGTTTTAACAAGTAATTATCAAGTATTTGTACAGTCAAAGCTCAAGTTTCCTTATATTTACCTTTTGGAGGTGTTTAAATAGTATCTACAGTACATGAAGAAATCCCATTAGCAGCTTAGAAGTTCATTTTATTTACATCCATTTGTCTAATACTCAAAAACTGATGTTCACTGAAACAACAATTGACTTTCTGTTCAAAATTGAGATATTTTAATCTGAATTTCTGCTGAAATCTCACCAGTCCTCAGGTTACAGGCTGATATCAGCATGAACTGATAACAGCTTCCCCTGAAAGAACTGACTGAAGCAATACCAATCAGAAAGGGTGATGGCGAAAGACAGAATGAGACAAACTGTGCAAACATCTGCACGGTGACAAGGTTAGCATTTCTTTAGTGTGGACAAAAGAACAAAAATTAAATAAATAAAAAAAAGTGTCTTTAGTTCTGCTGTTAACATATCAGGGGGGAAGGGGGAGGAGTGTCTTCTAACTCTAAACAAAATACCATAAGAAATGGTAATATCATTACAAACTAAACACCATTTGGAAATTCTCTAGTATTGATAAAAATCACCATGGTTTTCATCATACCAGTGTAAAGAAATGGGGTGCTACCTGACGCGTCCGCCCGAGTGCCGGGGGCCCCGGTTGATCTTTGGGGGCCGTGTTTTCTTCTCTATACACACAAAGCAAAGAAGGGGGGGCCCAGACCACACTGTTTAAGTCACAACTGGGAGGTTAAACTATTTACAGACGCCTCTGGAGAGGCTTCAAAATAAAAAAAGGTAGGGGAGGACGAGAGAAAAATTAAAAAAAAGGAAAATGGAGGACATGAGGGACAGTGGGGAGAGGAGTGGAAAGCACAACCTAAACTTTGAGGACCAGATTTATTTGCATTTCTTGTACAAAGCTAACACATACAAAGAACCTTGAAAGTATTCTGATCTGTACAACTTTCTAATGAAGTTATGTTACAACCAATAGCCTCTGTTTATTATGGAGGGTTTTATGTGATACACAGAGAAGCATATAATTGTGAAGTAAAAGGAAAACCATTTTCCTTACAGCTGGAGCTCGATCAGACTGTGGCGGGGTTAGAATCAGCTTCCAGTAGGAAAGTGCATTTATTTGGTCTTGATACAGGTTTCCTTTCAGTATTACCCTGTCGTAACAAAAGACAAGCTCCAACGCAGGATGATGATGCCACCACCATGCTTCACTATAGAGATATCATGATTGGGTTGATGTGGAGCAATAGTTATCGCAAGACCAGATTTACATGTGGGCTGAAAAGTTAAAATCTGACCAGAGAAGGTTTTCCAATGAATGTGTTGTGTTTATGTCCATCATGGGTCTTTGGAATAAGTCTAATTGTGCAAGGCTGTAGAATGAAAAATAAATATGTCGTAAAATTGTGTTGTATTGGTGAGCAGAGCATCAGTGTGCAGGAAGGTAAGAAGCTACTTGCTAAAAACTGATTTTTTTTTTTTTTTTCTAGCAGCTTTTAGAATAGACCAATAAGTGTCCTGTCGGAGACTGCACCTGAGCTGTGGATATTTTACAGGTCTTACATTTTACACGCTCCTTTAGATCCTCGCTTTATTCATGGTCTCCTTGGATGATTCAACAATTCATACGAAAAAAGAAAAAAAAAAAGCTCTCTGCAGTGTTTAAATACCGCCATCCTGAACTGATCTGGGCTTTTGAGACACTAAAAAGTCAAAGATGTGGTTTAATTAGTCAACTGCATGTCTCAATAACATTACCCCATCATGTCTGATGTGTTATTTCATCTTTGTTGTGTTTTTTGCTCTCTGATGCCATCCATTACCCCAGAAAGGATTCTACTTATTTAGGACAAGATGGTTAGCTGTTCTCGGTTTAACATAGAGGCACCAGAGTAAAGGGGACCAGACGTAACAGATTTCATTTTCACTTCACAATTCTGTGCTTCTATGTGTTGGTCTATAAAAAAAAACCAATGACAACGTTAAAGATTGTGGTTTTAAAGTGTAAAAGTTTCTGCAAAGCACGGTTCCAATCTGCTATGAAAATTATCTGGAATGAATCATCTCATGAGGTTTGGTTGCATGACTGTCTGACCTCCGGTTAAAGGACATGTATCCACAGCTAAATGCTCACCGTAAGCCACTACAAAGAGGCGAGTTGTTGCATCGCCAGCAAAATAAATGAGGTGAAAGAGAGTTTGGCGTTAAAGATGTACCTTAACTGGCATGCTCTGAAGTTTAGAAGATAAATACATTGATACAGATTTTAGAGAGCATGACAGTAGATCAAAATAACCACAATATAGTTTTCAGCAAATAAACTAAACATTTACTCAACCTAGGTTTGATCCTTAGAGTCTTAAATTGTGCTTTCTGATGGACCAATTACTGTATAATTATTAGTGTTACACATGAAACAGCTAGATAATGCCTTCTTATAACAGACAATATCATTTAGCTTCACCATGCTTCAGGTAAGAGGGGAGGGTTGTGCCTGGGATAATGTCAACGATGACAATGACAGATGAAAACAAACAAAAAACTAAAGATTAAGGTTGTCTTAAAGAAGACACAGAGTATTGAATGTTTTCTAAATCAAACCCATCAGTGAGACAAACTGCCCAGGCAGCCTGACGGACAGACAGGGAGATCAGACAGTGACAGACAGACAGGAGGACAGAAGAGAGGGAGCCGTCAGTACCTGCCATCCCAGCAGACAACATGTGCACCTGGGTCGAGTCTGGCTCCAGCACTCCATTCAGCTTCTCCTTGGCTGTTGAATATGCTCCAAAATAGATTGCCCTGTGGGTGATAAAAGCAGGACAAAGGGAGGTCAGACATGATTGGCAAATGTAACTAAAACCAAGCTGTTCATTTTTCCCAGGCTAAAATATGAACATCCCAGCTAAGAAATAATGTAACCTCAATTTAGAGAAATGAAATTTATTAAATCAAAACTAATATTAGACGAGATTTAATTTTTGTTTCCGGATGTAAGCAAAAATCCCATGTCACCAATACAGGATTTATCTCTGACCTTAGCTGATCTTCAGTCCATAAATAATCCCAGGATTTAGTCAACATTTCTGCAGACTGCTATCAAACCCGATGACACTGTGCTGCAACCATAAAAGGATCACACGATGAAGTATGTATGTTGCTAACGAGCGTGCTCAGTGGTTCACCCTCTCATTAGCATCAGAGGATCTTCTCAAGTGAGGCAGTTCCCTATATATATATATATATATATATATATATATATATATA